GCCTCAGTTTTCTCATCTCTGTGACAGGAATAATTAGGCTGGTATGAGAACTGAATAAGACAGTGCACACAGAATGCTTGGCATGGTGTCTGGCACATAGCAGGGCTTTTGTCATCATCATCATTACTAATTTCTATCTGTCGTAATTATTCTTTAATGACTCTTAGATGGTTCCTGATAAGATAAACACATGTAATTTCTCTTTTCCAGAAGCATATACTTGAAAATAGATACTTGTTGGCATGGATCTTTAACAAATCTTCATATACAACGGTCGGTAGAAACTAGACTATACCTACATCAAAGTATGTAAACCCAAAGGAGACAATGTTCCCAGGTTTTAGAGTACTCTAGCTAAGCAGAACAGATAGAGGTTAGCTGAAGCTGGGTTGTTGAAGGTGTGTTAACTGTTTCAGTCTTCTGAGGAGCCATAAATCAGGGCATTGTTCAGTGCTCGTTGTCCGCTTGGGTTGCTCCTGGAGAGTTGGGTTCTATTCTATTAAGATAGATACTCTCAAGAGGCTTACCTGAAAGCATATAAATTTGAGATTGCTAATCATAAGACAAAGCTATGGTCAAAGTGACCTTTCAGGACATTGCTCTTGCCTCTGAACCTCAGTCTGATGCTAGTGGGCAGCTATGAGATCTGTAGAAGAAGGATAACCCAGAGCAGACCGACCATTTCTAAAGGGTGAATTAGATGCTGTTGGCTTCTGTCAGTATAGAAGGTATTTATGAGCCTTAATACCAACCAGTGGAGGGGCTTGGTAGTGATATACATTTGCCACTGCCTAGAAAGGTAAAAGGGAATTATTGGAACATCCTTTAGAGGCAAGATAGAATAGTACACCACTGACCAGCTCTCTGTCCTTACACAAACTGTGTAACCACTCTGGGTCACAGGTTCCATATCTCTAAAATGTGAATAATACTAGACCTCATCCATATGGTGGTTGCAAGGATTAGACGTTGCCATGTGTGGCACTTGGTAAGTGCTAGGTAAACAAAACCATTCCTGCTTAGTGCTGTGACTGAGCCAGCATCTGGTTGCTTCCCCACCCTGGGCCTTCTTTGTTGGGCCCTGTAGTCACAGAGTCCTGGTAAGCAGGATTTGTTAGCTTCATTTCAAAACTCATTCTCCTTGGCTCATTAACCCAAACCAGACAGAGATTAACGGCCTGGCCTCAGAGGAGCAGGTGGGTACATGTTTCTGGTGCCTTTGGCTCATTGATTATACTTCTCCAATTCAGGGAATGCTTGGGTGTTCCAGGACGGGATCTCCTGAGACCCAGGAAACATTGAAAGACAGTAATTTGGCACAAATTCATCCTAATTAAGGAGGGCTGGAAGTCCTGCATTTTACTATTCCTTCTGGATTTTGCCAGCTATAAATAGAAGCAAGTTTCCCTTGGATAGAATGTTTGAATTTACTGGGAGAAATGCAGGGATCAAGGATGGCTGAAAAAAAATACTTGCCAAAGTGTGGTCTTCTCTACTGTACTTCCCTTGCCCAACTTTCCAAGGTTAGTGAATGCCAGTCACCATGGATCTCTGGTCCTAGCTATTACACTGTGATCCATTTCACTCACAGGTCACAAGGCTATGCAGGATCAGATCGCTGCCCCTCTGCCCTATCCTCATCTCCTACCCCTCTCTGCATTGCACTGATTGCCAACCACACTGGCCTTCTTCCTTCAAATGCAATGACTTTTCACCTTCTAAGGACTGGTACTTTTTGTTGGCACTGGCCCCACATCTTCCCAAGGAGGTGCCCCTCATCGGTCAGGCCTGGCGCAAAGGTCACCTCTTCCGAGAAGCATTTCCTCACCTAAAGTCCACAATACACCCCCGCTTTTTTTTATTTTAACTTTCTCCAATGTACTTATCAATATTTGAAGTAATCATATTTGTGCATCTGCTTATTTCTGTTTTCTTCACTAATTGGAAAGTTTTATGAGAGCAGAGATTACAGATGTCTAGTTCATCTGTATCCCCAGTACCTGGAACATTGCCTGACCATTATAAGCACACAGTAAATATTTGTTAAATGCATGGATAAGTAAACGAATCACGAGCAACATGGGAAATTACTATTTAGGAGGTCTTCAAACTTTTCAAAGCTGCTATGCCCTTGTTCAACAGCCACATGAGTAAAATGGATAAAAGCCAAGGGAGGGGTCATTTGCTTTCAGCCTCTCTCCAACCCCTTTGGCAGTCCTTGTTTGTGCAGGTGCTGTGGGGCTCGATTTGGAAACCATGGTCTAGCTCAAGTTCATTTATATAGATGATAAAGATGCTGCTGAGGGAGAATGGGCCACTGTGTTTCCTCTTTTAAGTAGAAATTACACAACCTCTATGTCAGCCTCCACCTAGACTTGGTGGTGACTTTTGCCCTCCCCTTAGATTCCTTGAATGTTAAGCATTTCTTTTCTCAGTAGTAGAGTCCAGAGCGCTTGCATTGTGTTGTGCTGTTTCATTGTATTTCTTTGGCACAATCTCATTTGATGTTCACAGCATCTCTGGCTGAGTCAGTCAGGAAAACCTATCATCGCCCACATTTTATAGATGAAGAAATTAAAGTTCAGCAAGATGAAGTTACCAATGGGGAAGCCCAGGCCAGGATCAAAATCCTTTGACTCCTTATCTCTCGAACTTTTAGGTATATGCATTGATGCTTTTTTTTTTTTTTTTTTGAGACGGAGTCTCGCTCTGCCGCCCAGGCTGGAGTGCAGTGGCCAGATCTCAGCTCACTGCAAGCTCCGCCTCCCGGGTTCACGCCATTCTCCTGCCTCAGCCTCCCGAGTAGCTGGGACTACAGGCGCCCGCCACCTCGCCCGGCTAGTTTTCTGTATTTTTTAGTAGAGACGGGGTTTCACCGTGTTGGCCAGGATGGTCTCGATCTCCTGACCTCGTGATCCGCCCGTCTCGGCCTCCCAAAGTGCTGGGATTACAGGCTTGAGCCACCGCGCCCGGCCGCATTGATGCCTTTTTATTCATTAGACAATCCTCTTTAAGTACAGAAACCTCTTCCCTTTTTCCTAGTCTTTCTGACCTTTAATAAGTGGCCTGGTAGCTTTAGTTTTCTTTAGAAAACTAATAATAAAATAGGGTGATTTGTTATATTTAGAGCTTGATAATTCAAAGACCTTCTTGAGTGACTCCCTCATTTTACAGATGAGGCAATAGATGCCCAGAGAGGCTAAGAGACCCAATGACACAAAGCAGCTAAAGGGCCAAGTGGGACCTCTTGACCAGCCATTCTCCGTCATATTTCTTAAGTAAAAAATCCCTCTCTGGATTTAATGGTTCTTTTCAGAGGTGGTTGCCTTGGTTTCTTTAGGGGTTAAATAAGTGGTTCTCAACAGGGAGTGGCCATTAGAATCACTGGAGGGAGATATATATAATTATATAATATTATAATAATTATATATAAAATATATTATATATAAAATTATATATAATATAATATATAATTATATATATTATGATCAGGTTCACCTTATACCTTTCTATACCTATAGAACCTTAATAACCAAAGAGGGGCTTGGGTTCTATGATTTTTTTTCTTTACTTAATTAATTTATTTATTTTAGATAGAGTCTTGCTCTGTTGCCCAGGCTGGAGTGCAGTGGCATGATCTCGGTTCACTACAAGCTCCACTTCCTGGTTCATGCCGTTCTCCTGCCTCAGCCTCATGAGTTGCTGGGACTACAGGCACCTGCCACCACGACTGGCTAATGTTTTGTGTTTTTTTGTAGAGACGGAATTTAACCATGTTAGCCAAGACAGTCTTGATCTCCTGATCTCATGATTCACCCCCCTTGGCCTCCCAAAGTGCTGGGATTACAGGTGTGAGCCACTGCTCCCAGCCAATTTTTTTCTTTTCTAAAGTAGAGGTTTCATCTTATTTAATTATGACAGCATATCAGGGACGGGCAAACTGTGATCCACAGACCAAATCCAGCCCACCACCTTCTTTTGTAGAGCCCATAAGCCAAGCATCATGTTTACAAACAAACATCTACAATCGACTTTATAAGGAATACTAACTTTGAGCACCAATTAAGCTAAATATCAACCTCTCTTAAAAAAAAAAAAAACATTCTTCTGATTAGTAGGCTTACATTTCAGAAAATCATACTCAAATATTATTAGATTCTCAATTTTGTCAAAAAAATTATGAAAATGTGCTTTCTATCTTGTTGTAGAAGTAGCTACATAATGTCATTGATTTTGCCTCTTGGCTCACAAAGCGTAAAATGTTAACATCTGACCCTTTGCAAGAAAAACTTGCTGACCCTTGCAGTATGTCCTTGTCTCTTTTATATTGGGCATTTTCTTTTTCTTTATTGGGGTACTTTCCCTTTTTATGATTTATATTATTTAAGGGGTTTCTATGGAAAATATATATTCTCCTTATAACATTCAAATTTCTAGAAGTACGCAGAGTAAAAAGTAACAATTCCCACTCCCCAGTATTAACAGTCAACGTTTCTGATGTAAAGGTCCTGACTTTGCCACTAACTAGCTGTGAGACATTAGTTAACCCCTCTAGGCTTCATATTCTCCATCTGTGAAACAGTGATAATAACAGCTCCTGCCCAACAGAATTGTCATGTTGATTATTTCAGATCGTTCATGTGAAATGCTTAGCACATTGCCTGGTGTGCAGTTCATGCTTAACGATTTGTAACTAATTTTAATTTTTTTCTCTTTTCTATTTATGTACGCATATACATTTACTTGCTTTCTTGAAAAGAGGGAATTTTTTTTTACACAATAAAGTTGCACAGATGATTCTGATGCACACACACTTAAGAACAGCTAAAGTAAATACTGAGAAGTAGATAATTATTGAATGGGTTCATATTTGGGAGCCAGAAATTACTTTCTACTTCATGGTGCAAACTAGGGAAAATGAGGAAGATAATGGTTTTCTACAGTGAACCTATAGGGTGGTATAAAATGCACACAAGTGAATTTTCATTTTTATTTTCCAGGTCTACAACTCGAACAAAGACAGCCAGAGTGAAGGGAGTAAGTATGATGCTTGGGTAACCTACAGCCAGGGTTGGGAGTGGGCTTTGAGAAGTTGCTACTCCAGGCGCGAACCACCAGGCGGTGCTGTGGGCATGTTGGGTTGGCCCCAGTTCCCGAGTGCAGTGGGACATGCCTCCACCCCAACTTTCCACCGGTGACTCCAGAGGGACGGTAAGTAAGCCTGGCTGGCAAGGCTGTAATGACGCCTTGCATTGAAATAATGTGTCACACTTTACAGAGCATTCTCGTGTACATTATCTCCTTTAATCGTAGGTCTTAAGACTATAGCTCATCACCACTTAAAAGTTACTTAATACAGTAGTACTCAACTCCCCGAGAGCCTTATCCTGTGGGAAAGCCAAAGTTGCTTTTGCCTCCAGCATGGTCTTGCTCAGAGGACTGGATAGGCAATAACTATGTTAGGTGATTTCTTAGTAACTCTGTTTTCTTCGTGGTCTGTTGGTGGAGGAAAGAATGGAGATGAATTCTATGGTAACATTCTTCTCTGCTGGAAGTGTCCCTGGGCAGCCTCTGTAGACCATAGTGCATTTGCCCTGCTGCTGCCTGTAAGCACTCTAGTTAATCATGATTTCCAAGGGTACCTGTAACCTTGTAAAGGCAACGGGATTAAAATGAACCTGCTACTGGTACAATGTTCGGGCTGATTATCTCCTTGGCGTATGGGAGAAAAAACAAAATCCTTCCAGGTTGCTGCAAGAGTACAAAAGAAATCCTGTCATCTTGCTTTGTAAAATCCACTTGAGAAAAAGTTTAAAGGTAGCCCCACTGTGAATTCCAGTTGTGTTAGGAAAATCAGTAGAACAGTGCCTCTCCACGTGGACCAAAGGATGAAGTGTTTTTTGTTTTTTTTTTTTGTGAAAGTCATTATAGGACAGAGAATTTTTCCCCCTTTCTTTCTCTTCAAAATATAAGTTTTACGCGGGAGTTTTATATAAAATGTTAAGTAATTTGGAATGTCTGCTGTGGGTAGGTTGAGAGGCCTTTTTTGAGAGGAAAAAAAATGTACCCCCTCACCTCCAAAAAAAAAAAAAATGAACAAGAGAAAAATTTCAAGTAAATATGCAAAGAAACAAAGACGTAATTCCACCCTACCCCACTCCCAATTAGGTAAGATTGTTTTAGAGCACCTGAAGTCAACTCTGGCTAACTGAGGCAAAAACAACAGTAACAATAATGAAGGAATATGTAAGGCTGTATGGTAGCTTGTAGTAAGGTCGGAGGAGCTGAAAAGCGAGGCTTGAGAACAGATGAGTTCTGGAGACCCAGGAACCTGATGAGAAAGGGTCTTCTGGATAATACGATAAAGCTCTAAACTGTTTGTAGTCCTTGCCTCACCTTTCTGAAGATTGAAATTCCCAGGCATCAAGTTGGTCTAACTTGGGTCCAACCAGGGGAAAACTGTACACTTTGATTGAAAGTTTTAAGACTGCTGCAAAAAATGGGAGTAGGGTAGTTTCCCAGAGGGAAATCAGGGAAGCCATCAGGACCAGAGGGGATGGATGCCAAGCAGGCTACACTAACAGATACTCACACCTGGCCCCTCCTGGGACACACTGTAATAAAGTACCCAAAAGTGGTGGGGGAGGAGAGGCATATGAATGGAGACCTCCACCCACACTGGCCAGAATTTTACTTGTAACTTGTGACCTTATGAACTTACATCTCTCTATTTGAGATAACTCCCAATAGATTTGAAAGACAACCATGGTTCTAGTAGTGGGCATCCCAACTGGTTCTGATATTTCTTAAGGCATTTTGAGAATATGCTTTGGAAACCTGAAAAAAGTGGCCACCCTCTAACCCCCCAATGGCTTGTCCTAAAGAAATCATTAGAGTGCAAAGATAGTTTGTACTTATTTGTACAAATAAGTTTGTTGGGGCATTGGTGAAAATAGCAAAGAATGAGAAACAATCTAAATACCAAATAGGGAGCTGGCTAAATCAATTAAGGAGTGATACACAGCCTTTACAAAGAACCAGAGAGGGCTGGGTATATTTGCAGAAATTGTGTTGATAGTATGTTAATGATTGATATTTTAAAAAACTAGGCTATAGAACAACATACCTAATAACATGCATTACTTGACCTCCCTCGAGAAAAGAATAAGACAAACAATTTTATTTTTGAAAATACAAGCAGTTGTGATATTTTGCTTTTGGCATCTCGTTATTCCCAGAGCAAAGAGAGTTGCTTGTCTTGGGTATCTAATGATTCTTCCATCATTACCCTTTCATCTAGCACATAGGAGATAAAAAGATGGATTAAAAAAATTGGTCACTTTTGCCAGTGCAGTGGCTCACCGCTGTGATCCAGATTTGGGGAGGCCCGAGGCGGTGGATAAAATGTCAGGAGTTCGAGCCAGCTGGCCTAACAGGCGAACCGTCTCTGCTAAAATAAAAATTGCCAGGCATTGTGGCGACCACGCTGTAATCCAGCTACCTCGGAAGCTGAGGGACGGAGAATCGCTTGAAACCTGAGAGGGCAGAGGGTTTCAGTTGGCAGTTGTTCCACTCACTGCAGTGGAATGAGTAAGTAATCCATCT